GGGGGGACACGACAAGGTTCCCCATGTCCTCCTTGGTGCCAGGAGCAGCAATGGAGGGGGACAACATTCCCCATGTCCTCCTTGGTGCCAGGAGCAGCAATGGGCGGGGGGGGGGGAGGGGGGACAAGGTTCCCCATGTCCTCCTTGGTGCCAGGAGCAGCAATGGGGGGGGACAACATTCCCCATGTCCTCCTTGGTGCCAGGAGCAGCAATGGGGGGGGGACAAGGTTCCCCATGTCCTCCTTGGTGCCAGGAGCAGCCATCAGGCACTGCTTCCTGGGGACAGGAGCCAGGTGAAAAGCAAGCCCTGCTCACACTGCCACGTGGCCATGCAAGCTCTGCAGTGGACACTGAGGGCACAGGGGAAAACAAAGCCAGAGGAAAAGACAAAACCAGTCTTACCAGTTGGGTTAAGCCAATGTTCCCGCTCACCTTCCCAGCTGGAGCCAGGTCCCAGTCCACTGGGACTGCCCTGCTTAAGGGACAGTTCTTTGTAAACCATTGGATGGGTTTCAGAGCAAAGGAGGGGCTGGGAAAGGCTACTTTTAACCCATAATAGTTGCTTGATAATCTGTGAATACCAACAAGCCATTGCAAGTGTGTACTAATTGTCAATTAATAGCTCAGATTCCAGCTTCAAATAAGAGTAATAAAATTAAACTTTACTGCTTAAGATTTACACAAGCAAGTGCAAAAGAAGACTTGTCTTTTTCTAATCCTATACTACAGGATTCAAGTTATATGCAGCTTTAGCTTTGGTGCAACTTTTGGGCCCGAGTGCTCATTTGATTGACATGGAATGAGAGAGCCCAAGGGAAGCATCCAGGGCATGGAACAACTTGGGGGGGGGAAAACAAAGCCACTGTAGTTTGGTGTGAGACTTTCAAGGAGATTTTCCTGCTTTTGCCTACACCTGTATAATCCACACTGCTGCTGAATCAAGGCAGGAGGGATTGCTCCGTTTTATTGTTGGGACTATACATGGAAAATGTTGCCTAAAAGGTAGGATGTCCAAGTTATTATTTGCATTATTCCTGGCAACAAAGCAAAGTCTAAGATGGAGCTGTAACCAGCAGGAAGAAGTCCTGTATTATCCTCTGGTTTTGGAGCCAGCACAAGCTGCACTGCCTGGTGGCCACACAGAAAAATCATCCAAGTCCCAGCAGAAACCTCCAGCTACACCACAGAGCTGCCAACATGACACTTCCTCACAGGAATTTCACAGGGGAAGGAAAAAAGGGAAGTTTTCTCTTTGATTTTCACCAGTTTTCTCCCTCAAACTGAGGTGAGCAAGAACTGCTGCATTTAGTTTTGAGATACAGAAAGGTTTTGATAAAAAGGAAGGTTATGTGCCTGTTTATGCAAACAGAACCCCCAACAACACGACACAGGCTGCTGTGAACATTGATTTCTTTGGCTACGGGTACCAAAACAAACAGATACATCCAACATTCAAATCTTTTGTGCTGCTTTCTTTCTTAATAAGACATAAATAAAACTAGGAAAAGTTCATTATTGCTTAACCGAGCGAGTTGGAAAGACTTTTGAGAAACTATGTATACAGACACACACAAATGGATTAGCCTCCAGCCGCTGCCTGTGCTTCTGCATGGATGGGGGTTATGGTCTTACTGGGGCTGCAATCCTGAGGATTCCCCAATGATATCAAAACTCAGTAACCTGATGATATGCCAGCCCTACACACCAGAAATAACTGGATTTGTTCATCCAGCTGAGCACTCAAAACACCCTGATGACCACTGACCTGATGCTGCCCTTCTAACGAGACATCCTAACATCATTTTAAGATCAACCCTGTATTATCTTGTTGTGCTTAGCTTAAAATTGCTCCAATACTAGCTAGGTGGTTGGAACTGAAAATACAGGACAAGAGTCATGTCTTGCACATACATCCAAGCCATCCATGGGCAAGTTGCCAGACTAGTCATACACTGAATAGTTGCCACTCTGCCCCAGTTTTCCAAACCCAAGCCCGCCAAGGCATACTGCCAATAGCAAATACTGGGGAGAAATGAAGAGTGGAATTAATAAATAAATAAAAAGGAAGAAATACAAAAGACAACACACCAAGGAATGCAACTCCACAACAATCCAAGGTTAAGTGCTCCTTAAACAGCTGTGATACAGATGCAAATCCTAGAGATCAGAGTCACATTTAAATATACTAGTGGGATGTTGCGAGTGCAAACTCAGAACTGCATCCTGCAAATAGAGCAACTGTTAAATCCAGGAAGAGTCCTGGGGCAGTCAACGACTGCCCAGTCAACCCTGCTGTGGAACAGAAGCCCTCAGTAATGAAGCTGAAAGGAAAATACCAAACCCAACTTTGCCTAACTGCACTCTCCCTGCACGAAAACTATTAGGTTCACAGCTGGCAGGAACACTGTTTCTGGTTGTAATCTGACAAACCATTACTTAGTACAAACCTTTCATTTTCACTGTGTGAATCATACCTGTTTTATAGCTTGTTGAAGTTTTTCCAGATTTATTTCTTTGGCTTCTTTTAGCAATGTCTTTTCATCCATCTTTAGCATAGAAACTCTGTACTGGCACAGCTCCACCACAACTACATCAGGCTGCACTTCTTGTATTGTCTGAAAAAGATGTGTTTATTTACACTAATTTAGGAAAGATTAAATAGATCTACAGCGAATGTTGATCTTGTAGGAGAGTAATCTGCAAGGTACTGGGGAGAACAAAAGTCCACTCTGCCAATCACCTTCAGGTAACAGAAGAGTTAGCATATGCAAAACATATACAAGACTTCATCAAATAACTATTGAGAATAAGGGAGATACCAGCAGAACACTGGGCAGCTGCTGCACACTGAGACAGTGAGACAGAGTCCAAGTTGTAGTGGGTGGAGAAACAGAACATCCTGGTGTTAAACTTGCCCATTTGCACAGTGCCTTTAACAGTGCTCCATGGCCATTTACAATCCAAGTGGAGTGAGTCTTTTAAGAGTCAGACCTGATGAATCTGGCAAGAGATTTCTCCCCTACCAATTCCTGGGCAGTAAAACCAGTCTAAATTGCAGTGTTTGCATAAGGTACTATCTCAAATAGCTTCTATTTTCCCTAGAACTTCAGCCCTATCTGCATCTTGGACTGTATTCTGCAGCTTTGGGCACCATGCTTTTATATTACACATCTCTCACACAGGGAATCTGAAAACTCCAGTTTCTGCCCTGGACTTCACATCTTCTCAGCTCGTCCCCATGCTGTCGAGCAGGCAATAGAGACAACAGGCACTGCCAGCCACTATGACACTTCTAATACTAGCATTTGCTGTTTGTAGGACAAGTACTTTGGTATTTGGGATGGGAGAACAAGCTAGTGGGTCAAAAAACTACCACAGTATGTCTGCTTCTTATTTCATCCTACAGTTGTGTCAACTTGCCTTGCTTCCCAATAGCCAACTGCAGGAACAGCCTGGAGGTTACAGTGCAGGTTCCAGCAAAGAGGGCTGGGCATTGCTCTCCTTGTTGAGATATTTAATGCTAAGTTGACAACATCCTAAACCCAGCACCAAGGGGCTCCTCCTCCTCATTTACCTTCACTACATCCTTTTTGCTGCTGTCACTGAAGTGGGCTGTTCCAACCACATAGACTTTTGACCCATCTTCTGTGTCAAGCTCAGTCACAGTGCTTGGTAAGGTGGGTGTTTTCTGCCTCTTCTTCATCTTCATCTCCAGAAGGATTTTAAATGCATCAGCATCAGCTATAAAAGAAAAAAAGGCACATACGACTATGAAATGCAGGTAAGTAAAACAGAGAAACAAGCAAAAAAAAAAGTCACCACTAAAGAGCAGAGCTAAAAGGCCATTGATTTACCACTGTAGTCTTACATTCAATTCTGAGGCTACATCATTGAGTGCCACCACTGGAGAGGCTGCCTCCAAGCATGGGTCTCAGTCCAGGTTTCCTACCCTGTGGACACTGGGACAGGTTGTCCACGCAGTCCAGTAAGGGAAAGAGAGGAGCTGTGTGGCAGGTGAGGTGGATAGAGAAGTAAAGAATACTTAGAAAAGGTATACACTAAACTGGGAAAATAAAATTTAAAAAAGGCATATATTTTTTCTAAACTCTAGAACAGTGCTTCTTTTTGAAATTTTATCTGTATAAACAGCAACATATTTATGTTGGTATGAGTTAGGCTGGTAAAGTCATCTGCACATATAGGAGCACGTAGCACACCTACCAGTACCAATCTTAGCCTCTTTTGTGACTAATACACAGCAGATCAGCACACAGGTGGAAATTAAGCATTAAAAGAGGCATTCAGAAAAAAAATGGTAGATTTTCCCTAGGTTCAACAAATTACTCTAGTCAAAACAGCACAACATGAATTCAGCCTGTTTATATCAAGCTTGCATGGAGATATAGAAGGGTCTATCAGTTCCATTACAGTTGCTTGGGGAATGCCAGGAAGCTCCATTCACCGAAACAGAATGAGGCTTCAGTCTTACATCAGTGGGAAATGTTTTAACTTTGATTAAATTATTCTTAGGCTGTAATGGGTCTTAAGGAGGGAGAGGACAAGGAAAATAAATCGAGTGGGAAACAATTTTTTTTCCCCCACCAACTCTTCCTCTGGCAAGATGCTACATGAGCTGGAAGAGGCCTTGAAGAGGAGCAGCAGCTAGAACAGGACTGTAATATCAGGAGAAAAAGGTTGATGAAGTGTAGGTAGGATATCAAGGAAATAAATAAGTTCCAGACAACTACTGTTAACCCTCTTTCTTCTCATGATTCTGTAGTTTAACCATATAGCTCCAACCCCCAGATCTGTCCCACAAATATCTTGTCTTGCAGGATTAAAAACAAAATCTCAAAACTCCCAACAAAAACACCCTCCTTTACTGAGCATTTTAGCAGTGTTATGGTTGAGAGTCAAGAACAGTATACACCGATCTAAGACACTGTGCCTGCTGGAAGGATCTAAGGCAAAGGAGCAGGCAGGGAAGGCTTGGCTGGAAAAGGAAAAGAAAAGGTGGCAGGCTATTCCCTAGCAAAAAGCAGCCACATGGAGCTGACCAAAAGCTACCTAAGGATCCCATCTCCCACAGTGGTCAAAAGCACTAAGGGCATTAAGAACAAGGGAAGCAAACATGATAATTTCCCCAAATGTGCTCCCAGCCACTAGCCATTTATGTTGGATTCTCTCAGCTGCAGGTGGTTTCTATGTACCCAGCAAGCCTTAATGGATTCCCTCTCCACTGCTTTTTCAGCCTCCACCTCTCACACACATTCAAAACTGGGCTGAATTGTGTTTAATGTGGGAAGAACTGTCAGCACAGTGCAGTAACAGCTGTTACCATTTAAAGATATAATCAAGGAAAACATTCTCACAAGCAGCTTCAGTTTTTATTAAACCCAACTGCTATATCTGGGAAAGAAAAAAAAAAAAAAAAGGAGAACAAAAAAGGAAAAATGAATCTGCTGCTTTAGGTTTGAATGCTTCTTCCGCTGCTTTGGTCAAGGCTCTTGCTTTGCTCCCATGATTGTTATTTCTAGCAGCTATAGTCCCCGGGGGTTATTCAGCAACTTCAGCATTACAGAGATACTGCTGTTCCAGGCTAACGTGCCCTCGGGTGGCTCTTAGCCTATTCTTTGCCAGGCTGAATGCTCCTATTGTTCAAAAGGAGGATCATATGTATTAACAGGACAGCAGTATATCAATAAACAAAAAGCATATCCTAAGCAGCTTCCTTTCATCCTCCAGAAAGGAATTACTCTCATTATCTGATCCTCACCACTGAAAGGTAAAGATTGATATCCTGCCTGAGTTTCCGATGCCCTGGCTGAAACAGTTGCATTCCCACATCCTGCAGGCTTGGTCTTCACAGCAAAGTTACCATTATGTTGGAATGGGCAAACTTTTTCCATCTGTGGCAACTGATTCACCATCACAAGAGCAGATGCCAGATATGTACGTATCTGAGTTTGCCTTATAGAGCAGGACCACGCTTAAAATAAAAGCTGAATATATCTATTAAATCGAGAAGCAATTTACTTTCTCTTGAAAGCTAGAAAACTGACAATTCATACAGCATGTCACTGCTCTTTTAAGAAGTGCAACTGGCCCTTTCTACAAACCTTGACCAGCCTGAGTTAGACACGACCTTGCTCAGGGCTCCTTTTTGTGATAACTGCATCCTTCTTAGGCAAGGAAAAAGGCACAGACATTTAGCTTAACACCACCCCAAATCCCCTCCCCAGCCAGCCCAGGCACATACAGATATTCTGCGACACACTCGCCGCTTCCTTTGGGCCATCGTCTGGGGCTTCCGAGGAGGACATGGGGTCTGCAGCAGCCTGTGGGAAACAAATGCAAAGGAGGCCGGGAATTACAAGGAAATGTTTTAGTCTCTTCTTCCCCCTTGTGAACCAGCTTGGTTTGAACCTGCAGGTAACATGCAAGCAGCTAAATAATTTAAGTCATGCCAGGGTTCAAAATTTCCGTGGTTTTACATATCCAGCCACGTGGAGAACAGCTGCCTGTTGGACAGCATACCAGGAGTGAACGTTTAATGTCTACTTCAAAAAGACAGTATTTATACCTGACATCAACTCAAAAAAGAGCTGACTCTAGAATAGAGCAAATTTATCTCTAACAAGGGAATTTTCTGTACGGGAAAGGAAAGCGGGCACAGATGCGAAAACCAGGGCCACTGGACACATGGCAAGTTCTACCCTGTGAGCAACCAGCAGCACTGCACTGTCAGAAGTGTGACAGCCTGAGCCAGCCCCCACAAGAACCAGCACAGCCATTCGGGAGAGTCTCTCTGAGATTCAGCATCTCCTAGTGTTACTGTTCGGATAAGGTAATAGCACATACTCACAGTCCCAGCCTTAGGAAAAAACGTATGCATATATATGAGTTATATCTATTGATTCAAATATTTCGGAAATCAAAGGCAAAAGGATGAGGAATTTCTCATCCTTTTGCCTTTGATTTCTGATAAATTTAAGCCACTTTTTACCCTACAGCAGATAAGAAGTTAACTGACAAGTTTTTCAAGGACTGTTAAACATTTGCACTAAAAGTACATTAGGCAAGTCTCTGACTAGCAAAACTCCTCCTTACTCATAGCATGCATATTTTAAAGCCTCAGCACAGAAACCCAGCGTTTTCACTTCCTCTGTCTATAAATAAATTGGGGTAAATCAGTCACCCAAGCTGGGGAAGCACAGTTAGTGCGGAAAAGGAGTTAAGCACAAGGGAGAGCCCAGCTGAAAGCTCTGCTTAGGCAACTGCTCTCATTCCAAGCTCTGACAGAGGGATTCTTGGGAAAAATCTGCAGTTCTTTAATGATATTAAGTCAAAGCTAGACCCAGGCTGTGAATCCATAACTGTTCATCGTTCTTCCAAATGAAAGGCAGCATGAGTCAGCACACAAGCAGCCAGACTCCTAAAGGATATCAACCTTCCAGCTAGGGTAAATGGTTTATTTACTTTGTACTTAACCCGATTTAAAACAGAGCTACACAAAGCAGTTAAGTACTTTCAACACAACTGTTTTTTTTAATTTCATAATATCTGAAAACTACTATATATCTGAATATATATACACTATATACTAATATATATACTATACTACTATATATACACTATATATTAATATCTGAAAACTACTATATGGCAGAAAGTCCATGGTGTCTTATCTTGGTCGCACTGCAGGCGAGGCCAAATTTGTCATATAATAAGACTATATAGTTGCTCATACAGTATAAACCATACACCATATAGTATATACCATTGCTCATGTAGCAAGACCAAAAAACAGGTCTACAGGGCACAGCTGAACCTGCTCAGCAGACATCACCCCTTCCACTGCCAAGCAGGGGTCTGCTCGTGGGGAGCTGCAGATTGCAAGGACACACACAGGCCTTGTCCAACGCCAGCCCAGCCTTTGCTCCCAGCACACGGCTGAGCTCCAGCCCTTGCATAAGGAAGTCTGGTCACAGAGTATTCTGAAAAACGTATCAGTCTGCAACATATGGAATTAATTGTCACTCAGGCTGCCTTTGTCATCATACCAATGCTGAAGTGGAAAAAGGAACACATTAACAGCCTGCCAGGCCCTTCTTTTTTAATTAACTGAGGACACGTGTTTTACTATGGAAGCTGGGAATGTACCTTGCATGAATGTAGGCTGTTACACTGGAAAAGGTTGAAATAGAGATGAAAGGGACAGGAAGGGCAGAAAAAAGCACTTCTGTTTAATTCAGCAAGGTGCTTAAACTATGCACAGCAGGAACGTCCACATACAATCAACCACGTGGCAATCACAAGACTTTTCTTCTCTAAGTCTAAACTCAAAGGTTAGACTATTTAGTACAATTCTTCATTTGAAAATAAGTTAATACAAAAAAAAAAGTTTCCTAGCTCTTGCAGTTACAGGAAAAAGAACTCTGAAATGGGACATCTGAAAGTTTAAAAACAACAAAACCTAAAGAGCCCCTCATTTTCAAAGGAGTCTCACATGGGCAACCTTGATCCTTCACTTTGGAGACCTTCCCTAGGCACAAGCTTAAGGACCTGGCTGATTCCCAGTCTTGAGCTACCCCATCGCTCTACCGGAAAACCTTCAGCTCCAAGCCCTACCTCCGGCTGTTGCTCCTCTTGCATCCCTGGAATGTAGGCTTATTTTCACTAATCGCACCAGAACTGCAAAAAGTAAAAACAATGGAAGAGAATTAAAAATTAAAACAAATATCCTAGGTTTTGCCCTAAGAACTGCAAGGAAAAATAAACAGGCATGCGCAAGGAAAAATGAAACCTGTCTCAATAACCCAATTTTTGAGCGGGCTGTAAATCCAGACTAGTGACATTTTCTTCAGACACACTGAGAATACCTTGTTAAAACAGGAACAAATTTCATGGGAACTCAGAATAAGCCGTATTTGCTGCCTGACATTCTGCAAAAATATCTTTCCCCTCCTCCCCCTTCATGAACAACCAGAAACACAGAATGGCTGAGCAAGAGGTTTCTGCCTCAATAAAAACCTCGCTCAACCAGATCCGTGGATGCATCTTGTTCACATTAAGGACAATTTCAGGCACTTTGTTAGGAACCACCTGCTGCGTTTCTGGACCTTCACCCCTGCAAGGAATAAGAAAGTGATCTCAGTCCCAATATTCATCTGAGGGCAATAAATGTTCCCTGGTCTGTGCCATGCTATCCATCATGTGTAAGGTGTTTTTCTGAAAGCCTCTTTGTAAGATCACAACTGGATAAAGGACCAAAAGAATCGAGTTTTCCTTTGCTGAATGCTTCCTTACCTTGTTCTTAGGATTCCTTCTTCATACACATGCTTAAAATACTGAAGCGATGCCCCAGACCTACAGGATGCTGCAAACTGGCTTTGCTGCTATTCCAGGAGATGGCAGGAGGTGGCCAAGCACGGAAGGGGGACACTGCAGCGCGTGCGCATCCTGCTCCGGAGCCGCCGCGCGCACCCTCGGCCACCCCAGGCACCCGGTGTCCTTGCGTGGGCCCCACGTGCCCAAAAACACCCTGCCCGGCTCTCCCAGGAGGCTTCAGCCTCCACCAAAACCAACAGGCCTCCCCGGGCCGCCTTCAAAGCAGGCCGGGCTGATTTCTGCCCGCGCTGAGAACGTGTTTCTCCAACAGCAGCGTTGGAGAGCAGCAGGAGACGAGCAGCAGCTCAGACAGGCGATGCAAGCGTTGACACCCAAGGCTCACACAAGTCACAGCCGACTGTTGTCACCACTGTCACCTGCTGACTGGGGTTCCCAGCTGAGGTCCAGACACCCAAACCTGGGGACACTCCACACGCAGCTCTGCACACGCCTTGGGAGACGAAATCCCCAGGGAATGCAGCCGAGCTCCGGGTCCCACGGCAGCTACACGCACAGCTCCCACCCGCGGGGCAAGTTGCTTCATTAAAGCAAAAGCTGCAGATTAAAAGCAGTCCAAGAGCTTCAGAAATAGACCACCTGCCCAAACCCAGGCAAGAATCCTGCACCCGTGATGTTTTTAACTTGAGTTAGGAAAGTAACAGCAACAAAAAACTACAGCACCAGCTGGATGCACAGGCACCTACAGACCTAAGTGAACTTGCTTCTCTGTTTGTTTACGTGCAAAACACAAAAGTGTTTTCCTGTCAGTGAATTAGCTGGCCTGAACACAAACTGAGGTGGCAGGCCTGTTTCAAAGCTCACCTCAGTACAAAAGTCTCCCTCTTATCTACGGGAACGCTGCTAAAAATAGCAAAGCACAACTTCCAGCTCAAGATTGAAGTCCCATGCAGAAGCACCAGGTGATTTTCTCCCACGGGAAATTTCAGACCTCTCGGGCTCCCTCCTCAGCACGGAGGCAAGAGTGGCCCAACAGTGGGGACCACTCTGATGTTCACCCACGTTTACTCTTCTACCTGACGGTGCCTCGTAGAGCTTGGATGCCCAGAAGATGCCCACGTATCAACTCTTGAGCTATTAACACTCGGGCCTTGGAGAAAGCATGGATCTGCATGGGCCGGGCAGGAGGCATCTCCAGGATAAGCCCACGTGGCCATTCAGCCACCACGGCCTAGTCCGGATAGGGACCACAAGCACTCCCACAAACTCAAGCACTCCCACATTTTCCACTCATTTCTCACCCTCGGGCAGGGCGCAGGAGATGGTTTGGATTTGCTTTTCACTCAAGTCCAACTTCCTAAAGAAGCGAGACCAGCTACGAAAGCTGCCTGGGTGTCTATGTGTCTGTGCCACGGGTGAATTTAAGCAAATGTGGCAGGGAGACAAGCGGCTCCGAGTCACGGAGTGTTTACATCAGCTCCGAAGAGCACTGCTCCTCTGGGGAAGAGATCACTGAGGGCTGCAGGAATGAGGGAATGAGCGGGTGTGTGCACATGGGAACATGCAGCGGGCCCAGCTGGCCAGGGAACTCAAGGGAATCCAGGCACACGCTGGAGGGCCATAGGAAAAGCAGGCTCCTCAGGTAAATATTTATTGTATTCCGTATGCTGGTGATTTTATCTTAAAAATATTTACAAATATTTCCTATATAAATAAAATCACAACATCACAAAGTCTCAAATTCCTCTACTTACCATGGGATTTAGCAAGATAAAACAAAACCACTGAAACCTCTCCAGCCGTTTCAAAGGCCTGTAATGTTCTTCATGAGATCACACGCGGAAGAGTCATAGATGACAGTGCATTTCTTTCAGAGGAAGAGGGAGACAGAGAAGCCTGGAGGCCCTAAGAGCCAGATTTTAGAAAATACTTCTGTTTTCTTAATTCCCAGGAGACTGTCTAAACCTGGCATCATTCCTCCTGCTGAAATACCACCAAGAAAGCACAATTCCTGGAGCCAGGAGAAACAAGCAGCAGCTTGACCTGGAGCCTCATGATCCAGCAATTGCAGGATTTACTGCTGATTTTTTCCCCGATATGGCCATTTAATGATTGAATCCTTGATTCAATCACATTTTTCTTTCAAGAGAAGAGGAATTTCTGCGCTTGTTTCCTGTTTGCCATGCCCAGGAAGCCCTTTGCTAGGCCCCCTTGAGTGATTAAAAGTTATTCTTAATACATGAGCAAGCAAAGCCCTTTCCCTCATTTACTGAGATTTCTAAGCAAGTCACCAGGAGCTCTGGAGACTGCTCAATGAGCCACAAACCTAGAACACAGAAATTCCTTGGGTTCCTGGTGGATACAGACTTCCTTTCAAGGCCGTCTCCTGACAACACACCGGGCGACTGTTCACCCCGAGACAAGGGCGCACGCTCTTCCCTCACACTTCCAGACCGTTTCCTCTCCCCCAGCCAGGGCAGGAACACCCGTGCAGGTGCAACCAGCACTGCCCATGCCCCACAACAAGGACAGAGGCAGAACAGCCAGGCTCTTCCTGCTGTGCTCTCTCATGCTGATCCGCCAGCCTTCCTGACGTCCAAGAGCCTGAGCAGAGCTCTCTGTGTGAAACCTGCTGCTGAACCACAGGATTACGGCTCATTCTCAGTTTCCACACTGCACAATCTTAGCTGGGTAGGGTGTTTCAGTTCTAGCTGCCTATTTAGGCATCAGAAGCTCTTTGCTCCAGTCTGAGGAAGGCTCTCAAACCAGGTGCTCTAGCAAGACAAGTACCAGGCACCGATACATATGGGCTATCATTAAAGAAAAACTGCCTTCCACGTTTTACTGCCACTAGCAGTAGGTTTAAAAACTAAATTCAAGCAACAAGACAAAAGATGGATATGCAGTTCATTAAGTAGAGCTGAATTTGATCCTGTGTTCACTGTCTGAAGGAAGCAAATTCAGACAGCAACAAATAAAATGCTTTAAAAATAAATTTAAAAATAATTTAAAAATAATAAGTTTTTATGTTGTTATAAAACAAGTCAGCTACTCCTCAAGAAAAACAGACTATTGAATAAGTTTTCTTCATCCTAAGCTACACACCATATTGACATTGCAAAAAGGAAACACAATTCTCTCTGTAGCCCTAAAGTGGTTTTGTTTTTTCCATGCTCTGAACACAGCCCTCATTAGAATCACCAATAAGAAATTAGAGGTTTCAAAGCCACTACGAATTGTTTTATGCTTTATTGAAAGAGAAAGCCAACAATTTTTATGCTTCTATCTCCCCAAAACTTTTACTGCTTGCATTATTACCCGAGATACTTCCAATACACACTGGTGTTGCAGAAGGTATCTACATCGCACAGAGCATTAACGTGGCCACATCTGAGATGGGATTAATCAGACTTCCCTGTTTAATAGCCAATAAACTGCTGCATGTCCCACTAAGCACAAAAGTACTTAGAAAGATCTACAAATTCGCCCTTTGGTAGCAAAACAAGATTGGAGTCTGCTAGAGCTTTCAAGGAATTTCAGTTTGAACCTTAACCTCCCTTCCTTTTCAGCCAGCAAGCCCCAAGGAGCTGCTTCTTTGCCCCGGCACCTCTGGGGCGATGCTTCCTCACTGTCACCCATGCAGAGTGACCGCGGGAGCAACGAGGGCCGACCGTGCCCCGAGAGGCCGGTGCTGGCGCAGGGTTTCTGCAGAAACCAAGCGGCCCCCGACGCTGCTACGCGGCACCCGGCCCCACACGGGTGCCCCACACCACCCACCCACCCGTGCCGGACTCCAACCAGAGGCACCCGCAGGACGGTGTCCCTACAACCCCCCATCCCACTCTGAGAGATGGTATTCCCAGGCAGAGAATGCTGCTTTGTTCCAGGACCCGGCAGCAGGAAGATGCCCGTCCCCAGCCCCACTGCTTTTGCGTACCAATGCCGGGATTCCCATGTGGGCTGCCCGCCTTGCACACGCCTTGAACACAGCTGCCCTAACAGGGAAACTTCTCCTGCATACACAGCAGCAGAGCAATCACCTGGCCCATAACCCAGAAAGAAGACTCCTTTCTCACTGACAAACCATTACACCCATGGCTCACCACTCAGAGTGCCTACCCAGTGCTTCCACACGGAACATTTCAGCTACAACCAATTAACAGACACACTTCTGTGTCACTGCCATACTTGGCAGTGGAAGCAGACGATGTATTTAAGGTTGATGGGGTTTTTTTTCATGCTTATGCATAGAAATTTTACAAGTGTTTACAAACAATCCGCATCAACTCCAAATGGTGTCTCCTCTCTGCTGATAGACTGCTCATATCCGAAGAACGCATCAGATCAAGCCTGACTGCCAAATACTGTGGCAGCCACAAATTCAGGAACTGGAACTTATTTCAAAGCCATCACCAAGGTGGCCTGCTCTGCACATTGCACATATTTCCTTGACACCACCCACGCCTTTGCAACTGAACTGAGCAACCGGGTCTGGAATCACAGATGGTTGGAGCTTGTGGCTCTGGATTCTCATGACTCAGAAGATCATAAATTTCAAAACGAGGGTAAAAGATTTTCTTTTTCAAACGAGGGTAAAATTTCAAGAGGGTAAAAGATTTTTACCCTCTGAGCATCGGTCAAGTGTCCCTGCAAAGCAACCTCGGCTGACACAGGGACTTGGACTTGGATACCTTCAGGTTGCAGCCAATGTCCACATGCACATTTGGAAGAGAAAAGATAAAAATCACAGACAACCAGAGTCATTTTCTCTGACGGGAGATGTTGCAACCTTGCAGGCAGCCTAGGGCACAGGTGCACTGTGAACACGTCTGGTTTGTCATTCTGGACTATTCTACCCCTACATTAGCCTTGCATGTAAATTAGGGCATAGCAAACGCAATGTAAATTATGTAGCAAGAAAAGAACTGGATTGCTTCACATGAGTGGATAAGTCAAATCAACTCCAGCGTGGTTTCAGTTTACAGTTCTGTAAAAACTGCATGCTAGCACTTCTATCAATGAAAGATGAAAAAAAATCCAAGATTTTTTTCTGTATTTTATGTTTTCATGAATTACTGCTATTAAATTCACTAGGGTTGCCAGATAAACTGAAGAAATATGAGTTGGATCGGGATGCTAATTAAGCAGGGCAGACGTGTAAGGTGTGAGGAGGCTGGAAAGAGGCTGCTAAATATAGCAACACTGTACGGAAAGACAGAAGTGATGCAGCCAGTGCTGACCAGCCACAGGGGAACTCACGGCCTCTTGGGCTCCACAAGTCTGCTCAAGTTAGTTTTCCATTCTATTAAGATACGAATCATCTGGATTGAGGAAGGGATTTGGAATTAGACGAAGCCGGCCAGGGAAGTCAATGTCTAGAGCAGTTGTGCTACAGGCAACTTGGACGTTCTTTGGCTGAGCTCCACAAGGAGCAAGGGGCTCCTCAAGCTCCTGTACACATTTTTCCACACAGGTCATCCCAGCTGCGTGTCTGCTGACACGTTCCGGAGCTGGGTCCTGGGAGTAATTACTTTTATTATGAGCACTTCTAAACTTAACCTTATAAAAGGGTGAGATGGGGATCCTATAGGACAACATCGCCTTTGCCCAGCTGTCAAAGTCACCATTTACCGATGCGTTCCTGCCTGTCCCATCCACCCAACGCAAGCTGGGATCGAGCTGATCTACTCTTCCGAAACCCGCTGGGCACCACAAAGCTGAGGAGCCTGCTAGGGCCCTGGCACAGCCTGGGGAGGCAGCTCAGGTTTCACACAGCCCCAGCCCAGACAAAGCGGCAGCGGCGGGGCCGCCTGCGCCCGCCTGTTCCACGGGCCCGGAGCCCTGCGCTGCCCACGTGCCCCAGCAGGGCCCTGCAGCAGCCCGGGCTGCTGCTGCGACGCCCGTTTATCCCCATGGGCAAGATTGGGGCTGCTCAAGCTCCTCGGCGGGCACTCAGCGCTGCCGCACGCCCCGCGTCTCTCACCAAGGCCCAGTCCGTGACAGGGCAGGTCGACTAGAGAGGCATGAGCCGGGGAGGGGAAATAAAACAAGGCGAGGGGAAAGAAAGCAGTCCCTCTAACCCCCTCCACCAAGTCCAAATGGAAGCGAGTTCCAAATGGAAGGGAGTCCAAACGGAAGGGCATGCAAACATGTTCCCGTGCTCGAAATCTATAGATTTTTGGTTAATATTCAACCACGTGCACCCAAGTTGTGTTGCAGCCAGAAAAAAAAAAAAATCACTTTTTATTTTCAGGTTTACAAGTATCGCGGTATTAGAGTGTTAGCTGGCATCTTCATAGCGCTTCAAGTCTCACTGGCCTCTCAGAAAAGTCTTCAGCAGCTGAAGGTCTCGCTCAAAACCGCTCATAGTGACAGTGCTGGTTATTATCAGCAAATACCTACCCAGCAGCAACCACTGCTCACGGGATGGCCGGTATTTGTGGAATCTGGCGCTAAACGCCCTACCACAGACAACCGGAGCCTGCATAAAGTTATCCCAGCGGGACAAGCGGAGCTGCGCAATCCCTCCTTGCCGCCAGCACCAGCTGCTCACGTACGTGCTCCCGTGTCGCTTCGCAGGGCTGTTAGATCTGGTTTACACACACCTGGCTTTCTCCATTCTTAAAATATTTTCTAGGACTGCCCAAATCTGTTTAACTTTCCCAAGTAGCAACCGAGCACAGGGAAGCTCTTTCCTAAAACACAGACAGAAAGGAGCCTTTGGGTGCTCAGAGGACCCTCCGGAACAAGCCGCCCGTGCTGCCGCGTCTCACCCGCCGCTGCAACGTGTCACCGCGGGGAAGAACAACGGCACCGCCGAGCCAAACCGGACCCGAACCACAGCCGTAACGACAATAATAACAATAATAATAAAAATAATCGCACACCGGCACAGACAGACACGGCTGGGGCCGCGCTCCCTCCGGGCGGCCCCGCTGCGGCAGCCCGGCGCCGCGGCCCGCGCAATCCCTGTATCTCGGCTCATTCCCCCGCGTTCGTCCCCCGCCGCCGGCCGGGCGCAGAGGTCGCGGCGGGCCCGGCTCGGCCGCGGCCCCGGCCCCGGCCCGGCGGCTCGCCCCGCTCCGCTGCCCTCCCGCGCGCCCCGGGACGCCCGGCGCGGCCCCCGCCGCCCGCGCTCCCCCCTCGCCTCGCCGCCCCGCTCACTCACTCACTCACTCACTCAGTCGCCGTGGCCGCTGCGGTCGCGGCCCGCCCGGAGCGGCGGCTCCCGCGGCGGCGCTGGGGCGGCGGGCGCGCGAGGCAGGCAGCGTGCGGCGCTAGTCACGGAGCGGCGGCGCGGCGCCGCGCGGCACGCTGGGAAATGGAGTCCCTCGCCCTGCGCGCGCCCGCCGCGGGCCTCGCGGGTGGACTACAACTCCCATGGTGCAGCGGGCGCGCATGCGCGCGGCGCCCCGCGCGCCTTCCGCGCCCCGTGGCCGGGGGCCGAGGCGCCCCCGGCGGGACGGGGCGGGAGGTGCGCCCCGAGCGCCGACTGTGCCGGATCCTTTGGAAAGGGAGCCCCTGGCGTCCCGGGCGCCGCCTGTGCCGGGGCCGGATCCTTTGGAAAGGGAGCCCCTGGCGTCCCGGGCGCNTTTGGAAAGGGAGCCCCTGGCGTCCCGGGCGCCGCCTGTGCCGGGGCCGGATCCTTTGGAAAGAGAGCCCCTGGCGTCCCGGGAGCCGCCTGTGCCGGATCTTTTGGAAAGGGAGCCCCTGGCGTCCCGGGAGCCGCCTGTGCCGGGGCCGGATCCTTTGGAAAGGGAGCCCCTGGCGTCCCGGGAGCCGCCTGTGCCGGATCCTTTGGAAAGGGAGCCCCTGGCGTCCCGGGCGCCGCTTGTGCCGGGGCCGGATCCTTTGGAAAGGGAGCCCCTGGCGTCGTGGTGAGGACGTGTCCCGGCGCGAGCCACGGCCCCGCCCGGCATCCCGGCACGTAACGTGTGTGCTTGTGTCTATATGTGTGTCTATATGTGTGTCTATATGTGTGTACGTGTGTGCGTCCTGCCCGCAGGACCGGTGTTTTCCTCCGTTACCGTCACCACAAAGTCTCCTGCTTGGCCACGCTGCCTCGTTGCGAGCGGATTGGGAAGGTGTAAGGATGTAGGGGATAAAAGAGGCTCGTGTCGAAGCCTGCGCCCGCTGCCCCTGCATCCCGGGCACGGCCAGGGTTTCGCTCGGAAAACCTGAAAAATCAGGTTTTTCATGTTTGGTCCCAGGTTGTGCTTGATGATGCTTAAATTGCAAAGCAGATGGGCATGTTCAAGTATTTTAGTGGTCAGGAAAACCTTTCCAAGAAAGCTGTGTCAAAGGCTGATTATAGAAAATTACTATTTTTATAAACTGCCTCTACCACTTTTTTTTTTTTCCTGCTCCTCTGCTCTGTTTCAGGTAGCTCAGTTTAATGAAAGTGGAGTAACGCACCCACTTAGTCTATGGAAAATATTATTATCTAAATAATACAATTTTTTATGAGAAGGGATTTGGAAGTATATTTTCACATTTTTGCCTTTTTTTTCAAATATTAACGGGGATATATTCTGGCTAGGGGCTGGCGTGGGACTGGGCAGAGTTCCAGAAGCATGTGGTGTGTAGAAATGGTGAGCTTTCAAAATAGCAAGCAAATGTATAAGGTACTCGGATCTTCATTCTTCTGAAAAACAGACATCTGATGCCCGAAAATTTGGGAAGAAAATTTCACTCTGGGTATTTTAACGCTTATGCTATCCACACTAAGCTTCCAAGTACTTCAAATATTTTTCCTTTTATTTTATTTACAGGACCTGATCAGTGAAGGCCACTGAAGAAGGGGAGATGCTGTACAGGGCCAGAGGAGGTTGGCTGCTCCTTTCAGGAAGTCGGTCAAGGGGCTTTGTTTGCATCCCAAGAATACTGATGTTTCGAGATGCAAATTCAACCCACTAACCACAGTTAGCTGCTTCTGAGTCTATTTTTAATAACTAGGTTTTAATAACTAGGTCTACGGTCAGATTTACTCATCCTTGCCCAGGAACAAGCTTTCAATGACTGTGGATTCATCCCTCAGCTGCAACGTCCCACTGACCTGAATCTTAAGTCACACACTTGCAACAAGGTCCTTACACAGTTGATTTTACCCTCTTTTATTGTAAGTTGCCCAACTACTTTAACCAGGTGCCAGGCACACACTCAGGCCCCAAGAATTTTCAGAGCAATGTGTTTAATTCAACTTATACATCTTAGGTGAGAATTTAACATTTTTAGAGCTGCATCTCCTCCTGCTACAATACCCTGGTGTCTTTCACCAGCATTTTGAACCCTTTGGTGGACTATGGTTGTGTTCCTAAGCTTCCTGTTATTTCAGCTACAAAAGTATTAGATTCTGTTCAGGACTGGGTAGCACTTGCCTTAGTCTGCAGAAGAGACCCAATCTGACCCAATGTGATTTGGCAGTTCCCCAGCTTGTGGCAAAACCGTGAGCCCTGCTAACTTGTTTTTCCTTTAGTTCAAATGCTGCACACTGCTTATGTCCGTCAGCAGTAGCCACACTTTCACTTACAGTTACACGAGGCATAGTCAGCTCTGCTGGCCCAGCTAAAGCAGAGTAGCAGTTGAACGTGTTTTTTTACCAGGACAAGGTAAGGTGCAGGTGTCTCCTGAAACAAACCAGTGCTTTTGGTCATTCTGCCTGTGCTGCAGTGCTGCCAGCATTGGATCAGGGGAAAGTTTATCAGTCAGGAAAGATGTGGGCATTTCTATGGCCAGCAGAGCCAGGAGTGCAGGACTGCCCAGCTGCTGAGAGCTGCAGATGTGTCACTGTTAGGGTGCTCTCTGCCAGGCTCGTGCCAGCGCTGCAGCTGGTACCACAGGTAGCTCTTACTGCAGGGGGCAGGACTGTAAATTGCTTTCTGATCCATATTTGCAGGGGGTTGCTGTAATTGAATGCCTTGTTAATTAGCAATTACAAGATGGGTCACTAGTGTCTGCTGAGTGGCCAAGTATAATACATAAATTCAGTTCTTAAAATCCCTCAAATCCTGGGATTGTTCTGAGATCAGTGCTGAAGGGATTCAGATGTCAATAGTGAAGACAGGCCTCAGCAGCTGATTTATGTGTTTTTTTTCAGGTTTTTAACTGTCCCTCAAATGCATTCGTTTTGACTGATTCAGAGCCTCATTGCAAAGCTACCTGTCACAGCAGAGTACTTTTGAGGTCCCTTCATTAGTGTGTGTTGTGGTTGAGCCTGCTTTAGGCATAGGTGTTTCTGATGTGATTTTGACCATGCTAGAGGCTGGGCACAGGTTAGAGACACCATCACAGGCCACAAAACTCCCAGGTATCTGCCCAAGAAGTTGCTTGTGTTTCCTTCCATGGAGCAATGGGGCTGCAGAAATGAAATGGGCAGGTCAGGACAGTCCCATGCGTGAGAGCCAGAACCCTCAGGATCCTCTGAACACGGATTTGGGAGACTACCATGGAGAATAAGGAAATATAAGTAATGTTTAGGCAGCATGGAATTCAGGGCGGGTACCTGCACGGGAGCTAGAGGAGAAGAGTGTTATTAGAGGTAAGAAAAGAGCTGGGTTAGGAGGGGGGCAGCGTTTCAGGAAGAACCGGGAGATGCCCTTGCTGGGTGCTCCGTTGATCCCGCTGCCTCCGTCAGGCACCACCAAGCCCTGCAGTTATGCGTGTGAATCCCGGAGTCCGTGGGATCCCAGCGGGAAGGGCTGCTGGCCGGAGCCGGTTCCCGCTGCAGGACGAGCTCAGCCGTCCCCAAGGTCACAGCCTGCAGAGGCCTGAGCGTTTCACTTGTCCCCGCGGGGCTGCGTCCCTGAGCAAGAGCTGCCCGATGTGGTTCTTTTTTTCCATGAAAATTGCCTGCTAAACCATACTGCACCCTGGCCTGCTTCTGCCTCCTCCCAATTCTACATTTTGCCTTTAAAATCCTTACAAAATCAGGGCTCAGTCTGTCACAAGCAATAACTCAGCCTCAAACAGCACAGCCCGGGTGGCAGCAGCAGTTGGGCAGTGTCAGCGCGGGCCTGTTTTGGGAATCTTTCCTGTGGGAAGGGCGCGGGGGAGCCGTGTGTTATTGCTAGTGACAGCTAGAGGCATGTGGGAGCTCCGGGTCTCCGTGTCCCGGAGCTCAGCATGCGCCTGCACCCCCGGGAAGCAAGTCGGAGCTCGTGCTGCTTTGCAGGAAGGGCTGGAAAAGGAGGCAGACGTGCCTGTAAGGGAGCCTTGCATTGCACAGTTAATCTTTCCGTTCATTAGAGGTAACCAGAAGTCCCACAACAGGATATAACACTGCTAAGCCTTGGAAGACAAGGAGAAACAATGGAGCTTTTATATCTGGTCTTGTTCCTAGAGGGAAATAATTATTGTACAATGCTGTCTTCAAGTAATGACAGTCTGGATTAGAGCTACGGAGCAGAAAAGTTGGGCTAAAGCCAACTTGCAATCCTTAGCACACAATATTTTGTAATCCTTCTGTCAAGAAAGAGCAATGCTTCTTACTTGCCTGGTTGAGCTTAACTTGAAGGGTTCTGGCAAATATTTGTGATCTTGATGCAGGCTTTTACCTTAAGGTAAGCATTTGCTGAGGAAATGGAGGACATAAAGGGAAACAAAGACAAGATTGAAAGGACTTTGGGCAAAAAAGGATGATGACTGCCATGTGACTATAAAAGACAGCTCCCTCCCACCCTACTCTAGGACTTATGGTTCTGGTACAGTTGTTTAAAAGTCACCACCCTTCATTTAGAGGTTACTGCTCCTAGCTGGAACGCTCCCAGAGCTGGTGAGACTTCATGCAAATCCAGTCCCGGCCTGACAGTGGCCTGGAAGCACATTTATAATCTGCGCCTCCATCTCAGATGAGAATCTAGCAACTAACAGCAATAACTTCCTGAACCACTTGCTTAAGGGCTACTTGTGCCCTGCCATCAAGTTTCTCAGTGGAAAAGATCTAAAAAACAGAATGGCTCCAGCCTGGCTGCTTCCTAAGCTCATGGTGCTTCTTGGGGGGGAAAAAAATGCAGCAGAACAGAAGGGTATGATGCCTCTGTTTTATGCACCATATAAAACAGTTTATTTTAATCCATGCTTGCAGATGGCACACCAGAGTTAAGGAAGATGTTTTAATAAAAAATACTAACCTGGAGTTCACTTTCTTGCGTAGTTTCCCATGCTGCCAGCAGCAATCTGTGAGGTAAGATTACATAGTTATTAAAAAGGA